AGTACGGGTAACCAGACGTTCTGTCAGATAGGGGAAGTCCAAGTCATTTAGGACTTAATAAGTAAGTTACATAGTTACATAGTATTTGAGGTTGAATAAAGACATTAGTCCATCAAGTCCAACCTGTTGTGTGTGTGTGTGTGTGTGTGTATAGGTCCATGAGTGTTCTCATCCTTAAGAGTACCTGTACCCTTGTACATTTCGATCTCTCAGGAAGTCGTCCAAAAGCTTCTTGAATGATTCCATATTAATTGCGGAAATTACAGCTTGAGGCAGCGAGTTCCAGACCCTAACCGCGCGAACTGAGAAGAACCCCCTCCGCCCCTTGTGTTTTAATTTTTTTTTTCTACCAGTTTTAGGTGGTTTTAAGTAATCCAATTTTCAAGGTTATCCTCCATTTAATTGCATGCCAATGTAGGGAGTGGAGAATCGTGGTAAGTGACGGGGTTGGCAGGGGAGTAACCTGGCTGCTGTATTCTGTACCAGCTGCAAATGACGTAGTTCTTTGTCCAGGAGACCATAGTAGAGGGAGTTGCAGTAATACAATCTGGATGTTACAAAACATGAATTAATTTTAGCATATTTGTGAAGGCTTTGTCAGGTGTTGCTATAAGCTCGGGTGAATAGACTTGTCTTGAGTCTGCTTTTATACACATCCAGAGAGGTTGCTCCGTTGACAATGGATGGCAGTGAGTTCCATATTTTGGGTGCTGCAGGACAGAAAGCATGAGATCCGGAAGATTTTACCATGACTCTGGGCATATGTAATTTTCCTTTCTCTGAGTAGCAAAGGGAGCATATGAGAGTACGGGTAACCAGACGTTCTGTCAGATAGGGGAAGTCCAAGTCATTTAGGACTTAATAAGTAAGTTACATAGTTACATAGTATTTGAGGTTGAATAAAGACATTAGTCCATCAAGTCCAACCTGTTGTGTGTGTGTGTGTGTGTGTATAGGTCCATGAGTGTTCTCATCCTTAAGAGTACCTGTACCCTTGTACATTTCGATCTCTCAGGAAGTCGTCCAAAAGCTTCTTGAATGATTCCATATTAATTGCGGAAATTACAGCTTGAGGCAGCGAGTTCCAGACCCTAACCGCGCGAACTGAGAAGAACCCCCTCCGCCCCTTGTGTTTTAATTTTTTTTTTCTACCAGTTTTAGGTGGTTTTAAGTAATCCAATTTTCAAGGTTATCCTCCATTTAATTGCATGCCAATGTAGGGAGTGGAGAATCGTGGTAAGTGACGGGGTTGGCAGGGGAGTAACCTGGCTGCTGTATTCTGTACCAGCTGCAAATGACGTAGTTCTTTGTCCAGGAGACCATAGTAGAGGGAGTTGCAGTAATACAATCTGGATGTTACAAAACATGAATTAATTTTAGCATATCCTCTGCAGGAATCAGATGTTTGACCCTTCTGAGATGTTAAAAGGAGGACCTGATGGCAGCTGACAGCTGTTGCTTATTTAATAGGCCAGAGTCCAGAATTACACCCAAAATTTGTATTCCAAAGGTTTAAATCAGTCGGGCATGTTTGCTGCCACCTTGATATAAGCCACTGCCCTCTAATGACCAGCACTTCTATCTTGTTGGGTTCAGTATCAGCCAGTTACAGTTCATCCTATGCCATACAACACCCATTGCTCTTGGTCACAGGATTGCTAGTGTCTGGTTTCAAAGAGAGGTAGAGTTGTGTCATCTGCATAGCAATGGTAGCTAAGAAGACCATGATGTTGAATGGTGTTTCGCAGTAGGATCATGTACATGGCGAAAAACATTGGTGACAGAATGGAGCCCTTTGGCACCCTGTAGTGTAATGGAAGTGAAGAGGATAATATTCCTGCTGTGACCATTTGTGATCTCCGTGGCAAAAAGGATTTGAACCAGTGGAGCATTGTGCCCTGTAGACCATAGAGGAGCTTGAAGCTATTCATTAAGATGTTATGGTCAATAGTGTCAAATGCAGCCAAAAGACCAAGAAGGATAAGGATGGTTTATACAGTTCTATATAAGGAGATCTGAAGATTAAACACTAGACATAGGCAGGGCCGGATTTCCCACAAGGCCAACCAAGGCCCGGCCTTGGGGCAGCAGCAGGGGCGGACTGACCATACGGGCATGGCCTGAGGGCCCGTGGCCACTAGGGGGGCCCGTGGCCTCACCCCCTCCAATAGTTTTTGGATTGCTGACTGGGCCCGGAGAAGACTACGGCTCGTCTCCTGCACCATACTCTCCATGGACGGCCGAGCGTCCCGTTGCTGTCATCCAGATGGCCAAGGTGAACCCCCTCCCAGATAGTGCCACTCCATCCCCCTGCCAGCGCTCTGCCACCCTCAGTGGTTGGACCGCCGCATGTTCGGACGACTGTGCGGGGACGGAGAGGCTGTGACAGTCAGGTCTGTGCAGCCTGGCGGACCCGCTACAGACACTGCAGGCACCGCCAGGCAGCACATCCTGCTGTGTGTGAGAGGACCTTCTCCTGCTCTGCGTCCCGTCCCCTGGGCACCAAGAAGAAGCCATTTTAAGTGACGGAGCCGCAACACATATTTGTGTGAAATCCGGATTATCAGTACAAAGTCTGAGCAGCTTTCCTGACTCTCCTCATTGCTGAGTTCCACCTTAGGTCGCTGGCTGCTCTCCGGGCCGTCTCTCTACAAGCACTACAAATCTACATTGAGAGACGGCGGCGTGCCTCCGAGAACCCTCAGCTGTATTTACAAAAACCAGACTGTAACCTGGAGAGCCGGAGCCCGTTGCTGGTATGTAAAACTTAATGCCTTGATTTTTTTTTTTTATGAGCTGGAAATGGGGGGGCATTTTAATCTTTTAGGCTCCATTCACATATAGGGTTTGCGTTTCCCACTTGGTCTTCCGCACGGGACGCAAACGCTATATGTGAAACAACTGCATGATTCCGCTCGTTTGTGGCCATTACAGTATATAGCCACGAACGCACGGAATCTGCCGGATTAATGCACTTGCACTATTTTGGGGGCAACGTGGTTTCCGCAATAGTCTGAAGAATGCACATTAAAGTGCATTTTTTTTTCTGCTTAGTGTGGCTCCGTACGTATTCGTACAGCTGACTATTCACGGACAGCCGCCCGTGCATAGTCACAGCTCCATTCATACTGGAGCGTCTGTCTGCGCGTATTCGGCTGTGTGAATGTGCGCGGAGCCAAACTAAACAGAAATAACAATGCACTTTAATGTGCATTGTTCAGACTATTGCGGGGGGCTTGTGGGTGGGGCTTGTATATGGGCGGAGCACAAGGGGGCCCCATAATCTTGTATTGCCCGGGGGCCCCATATGTTGTCAGTCCGCCCTTGTGCAGCAAGGAGTAGAGGTGCAGCAGGGGTGTGGAATTCCTATCTCCCGATGCCTGGGACATGCAGTTCCGGGCGCCGGGCGGGTAGTTGTTTTCTACATTTAGCCCCGCTTTGGGCAAGCAGAGCTAAATGTAGAGCGGGGAAGCCACCGCCTGTTATGTACAAGTGATCCCGGCGATGTCGTTGAGATCACTTGTATGCAGCCTGCAGGTCTGCTATTCTCCATGGGGGAGGTTTGCCGGGTAGGGGGGGGCATTGAGGAACCTGGCTTTGGGGCAGCAGAGAGAGTAAATCCAGCACTGGATATAGGTCTGTATTTGACCCAGCCACATTGACAGCTGCTGAGATAAGAGATCCACCACATGGGGAGTGCATTGTTTAAATCCTGATCACGACTTATAGATGTACATTGTCAGAAGAAGCAGTAAAAAGCATCCATTGTGTAGCACTGCAAAGCAAAAAAAACTAAAGTTTCCCAGCACACTCACCAGCCAGCTTGCAAAACAATACACTGTCTAGAGTTAAAAACAGAGGTTTGCACACCACTGCCTCATCAAGGCCCCTCTGTGTGGTGTGGTTCTTACTCTAATCTATGAGGGCTGCCATTTTGTATTGGGATGAATTGAGAACAAAGATGAATTGGGTACAGGTTGCCCAGGAGGTAGCCCAACCTCTCTAAATACACAGGGGTTTCTGGTGTGTCCCTGTGCCTTTAAGGAGGTTGGTCTACCTCCTGGGCAACCTTTTTGTTTTTGCACTGTGTAAAGCTCTTTCATGTGCACCTTGCCTAAAGCGAGTTATGAATTAATGAGTGTGTTTGCCATTTGTTTCACGTGCTGCAAAGTAAGGCGGTAAATAATACCATCCCCTCTTATTTAAAAAAAAATGATTTAAAGCAGTTGCCTCCCCTTCCCCCACACTGAGCCACTATTACCTGGCGTCTCCCCACTTTTGCTATGTCCCGCAGCCTGTCCAGTCCGGGTACTGACGAGATGCCGCCGCCTCCTGCAGAGCCCGCAATGTACTGAGAGCCGCACATTCCTTGTGACAGCCGCTGCTTGAGGCAGTGAGAGGCAGCCCCGGAGCCTCCGTGCCGCTTCAATGATGGCCCAGCCTGCGCGGCATCAGAGGGGCCCGGAGACCACCATAATTTTCTCGCGGACCACCGGTTGGCGACCGATGATTTAAAGGGTGTTTTCCATGTAAAAAAAACCTGACAAATGCAAACTATGCTCTTTCATTTCACTTGTCCAAACTAAAATACCTGACTATCCATGGCTCAGTTCTATACTACGATAGTCCCTGTAGGCTTGACGAAGGAGAAGGTCCCTCCAAAATATGCAGCGTAGTAGCACTCAATCACAGCTCACCCAGTAGAGTCTCCTTGCCTTTGACCGCAAGAACATCCCAGCAACCTGCTGTATTCCTGCTGCTGGCAGCCTCCTACGGTACCGCCCTGTGTATTTGTGATGCTTTTCAATACACCCCCTGCATTTAACAAATCCAACCCACTCAACACACTTTCTCTGTATACTGGAACACATGTGACAACACACACACATGATGCTGAACAATATTTATTTGAATATTCACTTTCCCTTCACATTATTGACACATAAAGCCATCAATGCTTTCATTTTTGTATTCACCTGTCGCTTTTTTAACTGGACCTTCTACTTATTTTTTGTCCAGACTTGAACTTCACATAATTGAAGGTATTGTTTTTTTCCACGTAAAATGATATTGACGTATCGGCCAACCAGGCCGCGGCATAGGACGTGCTGTGTTCCTCCAGCTGGGATCGAGGTGACCACCCCACACCTGTAAAGTAAAATTAGTAATACTGATGATAGTGAAAGTTACATCAATACCAATAATATTACATTTATTTATTTATTTATAAAAGCAACAACATAATAAAGTAAAAAAAACTCAATAATGGATAAAATAAAAAAGGAGCTTTTCCTGCAGCGCTTACCTCCAAGCTGGCAGTATTCCCCGCAGTATTTCTTTTTATATAGCTACTAGATGTCCTCTGTTTTAGGGTTAAATGACAGCCAGTGTCATTCCTCCCTCTTCCTCTGAGCCTGGGCTGTCATGGACACACCCCCTGGGGAGGCGTCATCATGAAGCATTAATGAAGCATGAAGTATTATTGCACTCAGCACTGCTCACTCATCATTACATGGGCGCTGTTCAGTGCAGCAGTAAGAGTCGCTCTCTGCTGCTTCTGAAGGAAGTGGAAGGACCCATGATGACCCCCTGGAGGAAGGCCCCTGTTTTGAGGGACTGACAGGACTTAACAAGAAAAATGAAAGCAAAAAAATGAGTTTATCACACATTTTTTTTATTTTTTTTTGCAGCACACAGACATTTGGACATACTGTATATGTTGGATATATTGGAAATATATACTGCATACATATATATGCAACAATGCAAAAGCTCAAAATGACTATTGGTCCCACAGAGTGACATACTGTATGTTGTGCCAATATGTAAAAAATAAAAGAAGAACTGTGAAAAGAGAACTACACGCAAAAATAGACCAAAAAAAATTATAATCACTGTACAGTGTGAGTAGAGCAGTACTATGTCATTGTGAGGTCATAGTGGTGGAGTGATGGATCACCAAAAGCTTATCTAATGTCCTATATACTGTCAGGGGTCAACATAACTCAATGGCCAACAGAGGGAGGGTCATATCAAGACTTAATAAAAAACAAACAAACACAGAATTACGTGCAGCAGTAAGAGCCACCCCCCTGCTCCTGCTGGATGAGGAGAAATGGAATAATCCATGATGGCCCCCTGGAAAAAAAAGTATGTGTGTGTGTGTGTATATATATATATATTTATATATTTGTGGTCAGAGTCTGGCCGTGAACATGCGTTAAAACCCCTACGTACCGCAACCTGAGGTGTGCCTTGATCGTCCTGGACAATATCCCTAAAAGGGGGCATATTTAAGAAATGTACTGTATAACATGCCTCTTCTGCTATTGAGAGTCTGTCTGATTGATTGATTATATATATATATATATATATATTCAATAAAGCAGAAACATAAAAGTGTAAATAGAGCAGAACAGTGGCATTGGGAGGAGGTCATAGTGGTCGAATGATGAATCACCAAAGGCCTAGTCCTATCTACTACTATTCCTGCAAGGGCCAACAGAGGGAGGGTCATATCCAGGCTTAATGGAAAAAGAATCTCCGCAACCTCTGGCCAATATGTAAACCAACGACCAGTCAAAGAAAACAAATCAGATTAAATTTTCAACTCAAGCCCCATGGGGCAAGAATTTGTAACTCAAAAACAACACAAGTGCACTTTGTTTGGAGGAATAGGTAATGTTGAACATCTCCCCTAATAAGGGATATGATGGCGTGAATAAGCATGCTCTTTAAGCTCGGGTGTGAACGCATAAAGATATGTAGTTCTGACAATTGTATGTGGTTAAGGAATTGAGAGAATTGGAGTTAGCCAAGAGAAGTCTTGTAGTCATGCATTGTGGGGTTGATTTACTAAATGGTTAGAGTATGTAAAATCACCACGGCTCATCCATATAACCTCTCCTTATCTCGACCCCCATCTATATAACCCCTCCTCATCTCCACTCTCCATCTCATTAACCCCTTCTCATCTCCACCCCAATTTTCACTTAGCTTAGTGAATTAGGTGAAGGTAAATAAAAATTCACTTTGCAAAGTGAACGCGCTCTTTTCCTTTATTAAATCAGCTCCAGTTTGTAATTTTCTCTGGTTGAGTTCTTATTGGAATCAAGACAGAAAGAGTTTTGCTTTCCATGCCCGCCAGCACGCAGACAAGATTACATACGTTTCTAAATCAATAACTCTACATGGGAGCTTCAATCATCAAAAGGCTCATTGTAGTGCTGGGTAAACCTTCAGGTAAAATACTTTCTCGTGAATGTATGAGTTCTTCTTACTACCGGGAGAAAATTGCATCATTTATGCTGAGAAGTTCAGCTCCAATAGGTTAGCAGAGGTGATAAGAACTGGGAGTTTTCATTACCCCACAATTTGGGGGGAAATTGGGAGAATTTGGTGAACTTTTTTCGTTTTTATGAGATTTTATGACCCGGTTAGGAAGGTGAAATTAAAGTGTATGTAAATCCAACAATGAACGTCTCTTATTTATTCTGGTAAACCAACCATTGATAGTGTTTGTCATAAATGTCCAATAAATGCAAAACATACTTGTTGAGTCGGCCAGAAAACCTGTGAGCTGATAACTTCCTGTGCAAAACAAAGGGCTATATAGATGTGGAGGAGGAGATAAGGAGATGGGGAAGGATTATAGAGATTGGCGGTGGGGATAAGGAGGGGTTATAGAGATGAGGGGTGGGGATGGGGAGGGGTTATCGAGATGAGGGGTGGAGATGAGCAGGGGTTATAGAAATGGGGGTGGAGATGAGAAGGGGTTATATAGATAGGGGTAGAGATGAGAAGGGGTTATATAGATAGGGGTAGAGATGAGAAGGGGTTATATAGATAGGGGTAGAGATGAGAAGGGGTTATATAGATAGGGGTAGAGATGAGAAGGGGTTATATAGATAGGGGTAGAGATGAGAAGGGGTTATATAGATAGGGGTAGAGATGAGAAGGGGTTATATAGATAGGGGTAGAGATGAGAAGGGGTTATATAGATAGGGGTAGAGATGAGAAGGGGTTATATAGATGGGGGTCGAGATAAGGAGAGGTTATATGGATGAGCCGTGGTGATGAGGAGGGGTTATAGAGAGGGGGTAGAGATGAAGAGGGGTTATATAGATAGGGGTAGAGATGAGAAGGGGTTATATAGATGGGGGTAGAGATGAAGAGCGGGTTATAGAGATGGGGTGGAGATAAGGAAATGTTATGGAGATGGGGGATGGGGATGAGGAGAAGTTATGGTGATGGAAGGTGAAGATGTGGAGATAAGGAGGGGTTCAAGAGATGGAGGGTAGAGATGAAGAGGGGTTATATACAGTAGATGAGAGGTGTAGATGAGGAGGGGTTATAGAGATAGGGGGTGGAGATGAGGAGGGGTGATATAGATGGGAGGTGGAGATGGGGAGGGGTATGAAGATGGGAGTAGATATGTTATAGAGAAGGGGGATGGGAATGAGGAAGGGTTATAGAGATGGGGGTGGAGATGAGGAGGGGTTATAGAGATGGAGGTGGAGATGAGGAGGGGTTATAGAGATAGGGGGTGGAGATGAGGAGGGGTGATATAGATGGGAGGTGGAGATGGGGAGGGGTATGAAGATGGGAGTAGATATGTTATAGAATAGGGGGATGGGAATGAGGAAGGGTTATGAAGATGGGGGTGGAGATGTGGAGATGAAGAGGGTTTAAAGAGATGGGGGTGGAAATAAGGAGATGTTATAGAGATGGGGGAAGGGTTATGAAGATAGGGGTGGAGATGTGGCAATGAGGACGGGTTATAGAGATGGGGGTGGAGATGAAGATGGGTTATAGAGATAGGGGTGGAGATGAGGAGGGGTTATAGAGATAGGGGGTGGAGATGAGGAGGGGTTATAGAGATGGGGGTGGAGATGAAGAGGGGGTATAGAGATGGGGGTGGAGATGAAGAGGGGGTATAGAGATGGGGGTGGAGATGAAGAGGGGGTATAGAGATGGGGGTGGAGATGAAGAGGGGGTATAGAGATGGGGGTGGAGATGAAGAGGGGGTATAGAGATGGGGGTGGAGATGAAGAGGGGGTATAGAGATGGGGGTGGAGATGAAGAGGGGGTATAGAGATGGGGGTGGAGATGAAGAGGGGGTATAGAGATGGGGGTGGAGATGAAGAGGGGGTATAGAGATGGGGGTGGAGATGAAGAGGGGGTATAGAGATGGGGGTGGAGATGAAGAGGGGGTATAGAGATGGGGGTGGAGATGAAGAGGGGGTATAGAGATGGGGGTGGAGATGAAGAGGGGGTATAGAGATGGGGGTGGAGATGAAGAGGGGGTATAGAGATGGGGGTGGAGATGAAGAGGGGGTATAGAGATGGGGGTGGAGATGAAGAGGGGGTATAGAGATGGGGGTGGAGATGAAGAGGGGGTATAGAGATGGGGGTGGAGATGAAGAGGGGGTATAGAGATGGGGGTGGAGATGAAGAGGGGGTATAGAGATGGGGGTGGAGATGAAGAGGGGGTATAGAGATGGGGGTGGAGATGAAGAGGGGGTATAGAGATGGGGGTGGAGATGAAGAGGGGGTATAGAGATGGGGGTGGAGATGAAGAGGGGGTATAGAGATGGGGGTGGAGATGAAGAGGGGGTATAGAGATGGGGGTGGAGATGAAGAGGGGGTATAGAGATGGGGGTGGAGATGAAGAGGGGGTATAGAGATGGGGGTGGAGATGAAGAGGGGGTATAGAGATGGGGGTGGAGATGAAGAGGGGGTATAGAGATGGGGGTGGAGATGAAGAGGGGGTATAGAGATGGGGGTGGAGATGAAGAGGGGGTATAGAGATGGGGGTGGAGATGAAGAGGGGGTATAGAGATGGGGGTGGAGATGAAGAGGGGGTATAGAGATGGGGGTGGAGATGAAGAGGGGGTATAGAGATGGGGGTGGAGATGAAGAGGGGGTATAGAGATGGGGGTGGAGATGAAGAGGGGGTATAGAGATGGGGGTGGAGATGAAGAGGGGGTATAGAGATGGGGGTGGAGATGAAGAGGGGGTATAGAGATGGGGGTGGAGATGAAGAGGGGGTATAGAGATGGGGGTGGAGATGAAGAGGGGGTATAGAGATGGGGGTGGAGATGAAGAGGGGGTATAGAGATGGGGGTGGAGATGAAGAGGGGGTATAGAGATGGGGGTGGAGATGAAGAGGGGGTATAGAGATGGGGGTGGAGATGAAGAGGGGGTATAGAGATGGGGGTGGAGATGAAGAGGGGGTATAGAGATGGGGGTGGAGATGAAGAGGGGGTATAGAGATGGGGGTGGAGATGAAGAGGGGGTATAGAGATGGGGGTGGAGATGAAGAGGGGGTATAGAGATGGGGGTGGAGATGAAGAGGGGGTATAGAGATGGGGGTGGAGATGAAGAGGGGGTATAGAGATGGGGGTGGAGATGAAGAGGGGGTATAGAGATGGGGGTGGAGATGAAGAGGGGGTATAGAGATGGGGGTGGAGATGAAGAGGGGGTATAGAGATGGGGGTGGAGATGAAGAGGGGGTATAGAGATGGGGGTGGAGATGAAGAGGGGGTATAGAGATGGGGGTGGAGATGAAGAGGGGGTATAGAGATGGGGGTGGAGATGAAGAGGGGGTATAGAGATGGGGGTGGAGATGAAGAGGGGGTATAGAGATGGGGGTGGAGATGAAGAGGGGGTATAGAGATGGGGGTGGAGATGAAGAGGGGGTATAGAGATGGGGGTGGAGATGAAGAGGGGGTATAGAGATGGGGGTGGAGATGAAGAGGGGGTATAGAGATGGGGGTGGAGATGAAGAGGGGGTATAGAGATGGGGGTGGAGATGAAGAGGGGGTATAGAGATGGGGGTGGAGATGAAGAGGGGGTATAGAGATGGGGGTGGAGATGAAGAGGGGGTATAGAGATGGGGGTGGAGATGAAGAGGGGGTATAGAGATGGGGGTGGAGATGAAGAGGGGGTATAGAGATGGGGGTGGAGATGAAGAGGGGGTATAGAGATGGGGGTGGAGATGAAGAGGGGGTATAGAGATGGGGGTGGAGATGAAGAGGGGGTATAGAGATGGGGGTGGAGATGAAGAGGGGGTATAGAGATGGGGGTGGAGATGAAGAGGGGGTATAGAGATGGGGGTGGAGATGAAGAGGGGGTATAGAGATGGGGGTGGAGATGAAGAGGGGGTATAGAGATGGGGGTGGAGATGAAGAGGGGGTATAGAGATGGGGGTGGAGATGAAGAGGGGGTATAGAGATGGGGGTGGAGATGAAGAGGGGGTATAGAGATGGGGGTGGAGATGAAGAGGGGGTATAGAGATGGGGGTGGAGATGAAGAGGGGGTATAGAGATGGGGGTGGAGATGAAGAGGGGGTATAGAGATGGGGGTGGAGATGAAGAGGGGGTATAGAGATGGGGGTGGAGATGAAGAGGGGGTATAGAGATGGGGGTGGAGATGAAGAGGGGGTATAGAGATGGGGGTGGAGATGAAGAGGGGGTATAGAGATGGGGGTGGAGATGAAGAGGGGGTATAGAGATGGGGGTGGAGATGAAGAGGGGGTATAGAGATGGGGGTGGAGATGAAGAGGGGGTATAGAGATGGGGGTGGAGATGAAGAGGGGGTATAGAGATGGGGGTGGAGATGAAGAGGGGGTATAGAGATGGGGGTGGAGATGAAGAGGGGGTATAGAGATGGGGGTGGAGATGAAGAGGGGGTATAGAGATGGGGGTGGAGATGAAGAGGGGGTATAGAGATGGGGGTGGAGATGAAGAGGGGGTATAGAGATGGGGGTGGAGATGAAGAGGGGGTATAGAGATGGGGGTGGAGATGAAGAGGGGGTATAGAGATGGGGGTGGAGATGAAGAGGGGGTATAGAGATGGGGGTGGAGATGAAGAGGGGGTATAGAGATGGGGGTGGAGATGAAGAGGGGGTATAGAGATGGGGGTGGAGATGAAGAGGGGGTATAGAGATGGGGGTGGAGATGAAGAGGGGGTATAGAGATGGGGGTGGAGATGAAGAGGGGGTATAGAGATGGGGGTGGAGATGAAGAGGGGGTATAGAGATGGGGGTGGAGATGAAGAGGGGGTATAGAGATGGGGGTGGAGATGAAGAGGGGGTATAGAGATGGGGGTGGAGATGAAGAGGGGGTATAGAGATGGGGGTGGAGATGAAGAGGGGGTATAGAGATGGGGGTGGAGATGAAGAGGGGGTATAGAGATGGGGGTGGAGATGAAGAGGGGGTATAGAGATGGGGGTGGAGATGAAGAGGGGGTATAGAGATGGGGGTGGAGATGAAGAGGGGGTATAGAGATGGGGGTGGAGATGAAGAGGGGGTATAGAGATGGGGGTGGAGATGAAGAGGGGGTATAGAGATGGGGGTGGAGATGAAGAGGGGGTATAGAGATGGGGGTGGAGATGAAGAGGGGGTATAGAGATGGGGGTGGAGATGAAGAGGGGGTATAGAGATGGGGGTGGAGATGAAGAGGGGGTATAGAGATGGGGGTGGAGATGAAGAGGGGGTATAGAGATGGGGGTGGAGATGACGAGGGGTTATAGAGATGAGTGGGGAATGAGATAAGGAGAGGACTGTTTGTTCAATAATTTTTCTAAAAAAGCTCAACATTGAAAATAAAAAAAACTTTATTTCTTTTGTAAATATCTTTGCAATTCTTTGTACCAGAATCATCATTGTAGTTGTCTTTCTATGGAATGAAGTGCATACTGACAGTAACACGTTTTTCTATCTTGCATTGATCGAAGTAGGAAAAAGGTGCAAATATTAGTTGTGCGATGCTTTTTTTTTTGTCTATAGATTGCATGGAAAAACAAAATCATTTTTGGAAGACAATATCACCAAATGCAAACCTTGTCTGTCCTAATGAACGATATACTGTATTACTGTGAAATGATCACTGAATAAACCGGCCCATAGCAGAAATGTGTAACAATGTTCTGGTCCATTGGGGGGTGTACAGGTGTAAGAGAGAGAGCTGAAGAGGGTAAAGAATCACCCTTACCTGTGATTATCATTTCCGTTGTTGGCCAGAGAGTTTCCTACGAGAATTTCCGCTCCGTTCAGTCTCTCACTGCAGCAGTCTCCCCTGTTGGTGATGGTGATGTATTCGATCTTATAAGGTCTGAGCAGGTCCACCCTCCACCATGGAGACGGGTAATTGTGTGTATGTGAGCAGGAGCCGTGGGAGAAGGCCGGGTCCTGGTTCCCATCTATGGCATTTATGGCTGCTGACTGGTAGCCAAAGCGTTGACTTATAAAAAGTGAGGATTGAGTCGCTCGACCTTGAAGGGCAACATTCCGATCTGTTAGACAATATGAGGGTAGATGTAAATATGACTCATTATACAAAGAGTAAGAGAGAGGAGATATCGGGAAGGAACACATCTCTTATAGCCTTATGTGACACTAAACTCCGGAGTTAAATCCTAAAACTACATTCAAGTCCCCTAACTATGAATAACAATGTATCTTATTTGTATCACTGGGCTGTAGATCCTCAAATCATCTCTGAATTGGTCCTTCCTTCTGGAGGGGGGCTACTTGTGTTCTTCATGGTCCCTGTGTGTGTTGTAGAGTAGTCACCGCTTCAAGCTCGCTCCCGGGATCTCAATACAAACTAGTAAACGAAACCTGAGATTGTAGTCCATCACGGACTCGTGAAAATGCCCAGACATCAAAAAACGATACTTGTGCTTTAAAATGTCAAATTGAAGTGGCTGCCTTAGGTCCCGTGTATGCTATGCAGAGGACCTTGCGCCAGCCTTCTTGGGAACTACGCCGCGCCTGTTTACATAGCTTCCTTCCTACCCCACCCCCCCCCCCCCCGGAGACACTACTCACCTCTCCTGAGATCCTCTCCTCCGCCCAAGACATCAGACCAGCACCCTGAAGCAGAGCGGCAGCACAGATTATGTAGCAAATTCAGATACTATTATTCTGCATATGCATCGCTGAGATCTGTAGTTCTCTTTTGCTGATGGTATCATTCTGCATTGCTGTATAGTGTATTGCTGGGATTTGTAGCCCCTCTACTGCTTGGAGTCAGTAGCAGAACTACCAGGGTTGCAGTGGTTGTAGCTGCGACCCGGCCTTGGTGCTCCACCACTCTCATAAAATCATTAGTCTGTATTCTTCTAGAAAAACTGTCACATGACACTAAAAAAAGCACACCATTGTGCTCTTAATATGACAGCAACTCTCTTTCCCCCATCCTCATCCACTCCTGGCAGCAGAACCCCCATGCTTCAGTGCATGCATTATGCACATCCACCAAAACCCCCACTCTGGGGTGTGCAGAGTGCATCCCTTCCCTTGGGTGCATGTAGTAAGCACAACCACCAACTGGCTTCCCTCCTCCAATCTGGTGCATGTGCTATGCCCCACCCATGCTCCTGTGCCTGCACTAGGCCCATTCCTGATGCACCAAAGCAGGAAGGAAGAGGTGTGCAAGCAGTACCGCATATATGTGATACATACAAGAAAGTGGCAGGCAGGAGTGGGGAGGAGGCAGGGGAAGAAGGAGAGCAGGATGGGGGGCAAGTCTCTGCACAATGGGCCTCTGGGTTATACTTGCCCCACGGGCCAAAAGTTGCCAATCAAGTCTCGGTGGTGACCCATCCCAAAGACGTCACAATCCAACATGGGTCCCAACACATAATTTAACAAACACTACTCTAGCTAATATGTGTCTATGCAGCAGATTAGGGACCTCCCTTCTGTCTAGGAGCCAGAGGAGAATCCAGCAGTTGAATGGTGCTGGTGGACCATAGAAGACCAATGTTTCCATAACTGGTAACATTTCTTACTCAGAAAAGAGGCCTTGTATTAAAGAGAGAGTCATCAACCCCCTTCCCATATACATGCATTACACACAATATCAAGGTATGTTTTTTTATTGCCTGTACTGTACTGATTGGAGCATATTGTGACATCTGTGTCCATCCAGTTTTTTTCTCCAACTTACCGGACCCATGTTAGGTCTCTGGGGAGTTGGATGTAAGTGGACATGTGTTGGCTTACATCAGATTACCTCCAATGCTTTACAATCAGGTCGGCCAAAATGGAACTCTGTTGCTTTTGGTTCTCTTGACCTGGAAGTGGTTGGAGGGTCATTGGATGTAACTGGCTGTCCACAGACTAACATTGGTCTTCCGATCAAATCCTCCTAAGAAACTGACAGGCGGACCCGATCAGACCACGCATCTGAAAGGGGCCTATCTATCTATCTATCTATCTATCTATCTATCTATCTATCTATCTATCTATCTATCTATCTATCTATTAATTGGTATCTATAGATATTTATATAGATAGCTAGATATCCTTTGGGATAGGAGCCAGGGAAGAATCCATCAGAGCAGTTGAATGGTGCTGTATAGATAGAGAGAGAGAGAGAGAGAGAGAGAGAGAGAGAGAGAGAGAGAGAGATAGATAGATGGATGGCTAGATAGATAGATAGATAGATAGATAGATAGATAGAACTGAGGTTAAAGACCCATCTATCATCTTGCCATGTGTCTATATTGCATACCTTATAAGTGGCTTAATAATAACAATAATAATTAGGAATGCACGAGTATCGATATTTTTTTATCAGTACTTGCCGGTTCCAGAGTACCAATACCGGTGCCACGTGCCCCGATTATCAGGAAGTCCGGCGGCAGATTATGACACATCGCCTCGCTTCCTGATTGCCTGGGAGCCGGCGTTCTATTGAAAGGACACCAGCTTCACTTGCCGAGGCTGCCTGGCTTCCTGACCAATCAGCAAGCCGGGCGACGGGTCATGAGGTACCATAAAACTTCCCAAATAGCAAGCGATTGAGCTGCAAGTTTTAAAATGACTTGCTAGACTATTGCTAGACTTGCCGAACTTCACCATTTTGTTGCACAATTACAGCAAGTCTGCATTGCAAGTCTCCAGACCGGCGAGCTTGCAGAGCTCTTGCTAAGACCTGCAGGACTCGTGCTGTAGACTTGCCAAGCAAATTTGCTACAAATTCAAAAAGTGTCACCTAGAACTTGTGCTGCAAGTCTACAACTTGCCAGGAACGTGTGCAGCAAGTAAACAAGAATTACAATTTAACCCCGACACAAGTTTGTGGCAAGTTATCCTTGCTATCTGGGTTCATGATTGGTCAGGAAGCCAGGCTGCCTAGAAACAAGTGAAGCCAGTTTCCTAGCCAATCAGGAAGCCGGGAGACAGGTCATGACCTGCCGCCTGGCTTCCTGATTGGTTAGGAAGCCAAGCTGCCTACCAACAAGTAAAGCTGGCTTCCTAGCCAATCAGGAAGCTGGGTGGCAGG